CCAGAGCCTTGGAGAGGAGGACATTCAGCCTACACTCACCTTCCCTTCCAGCCTCAAGCCCAGACAGGAGGTCATGCCTGACCTCAAACAATTTCCCGTGCATAGGCCTGGCTTTGGTCCAGATGCAGCCCCTCTCTCCACCCCGTCCCCCCCAGGATGCCACGTGGGACCATGCAGTGTCCTTCCTGCCAGAGCAGTGGGGACGTGCTTCTAAATCAACGGGCAGGGGCTGGAGCAGCTTCAGAGTGGCATGTGTGTCCTAACTGTGCTCTCGGAAGATGTTCAGGGCAGGACGGACTCCCCTGACCCCACCCGCACGACCACGGCCTGGCCAAGAGTCCCCTCCCTCTCGGAAAGCACCTTCCCAGAACCCAGCTGCTTCTCAATTTAGTAGAAAGAAGTCTCAGCTCACAGGAGCCAGAAGGGTACACACTGGCCTCTTGAGGGAGGTGTGGTTATATGTGGGAAGAAGGCTGTGCCTTGGGATTCCCATATGGGCACAGGTGGGCCCAAAGGAGGCCTCTTCTCCACCTGAGACCACCCACCACCGCCTCCCCCAGGGGCTCACTAGACCCCTCATGGAGCCGGGGCCTGTGTTTGCCCTGCCTGGCCCACGGCCAGCATCCATGGGGACACGGACCTAGCACAACCCCTGGCTTTGGGGAGAAGAGGTCAGCCCCACTGACCCCATGGCTGCATTTGTTGTGCGGGGACCCTGAGTCTATGCCTCTGGAGCTGGGGGTCCCACCTGTGCCCTCTGTCTCCCGTAGCCCCCACTTTGTTCTGGGGGCTCAGCCTGATTCCACCCACCCCAGAGGGCTGGCCAGAGGGCACATCCCATGGCTGCTTTCTGTGGGAGCCCCTGGCACCATCTGGAGCACACGCTGTCTGTGGGACTACTGGGCTGGGCCTCTCCCACGGGCCAGGGGTCCTGGGCTGCTCGGTGCTGGATCCTAGCAACAAGGCGATTGCCTGTGTGCCTGTCACACACACCTCCCCCTGCCAGCCGGGTCCCCCTGTGGATCAGGTGTGCAGTCAGCCGTTATCTGGTGCCCATTGCTGAGACTCTGGCACAGAGGTGAGGGTGCCCCGTCCCCGAGACCTGGGAGCTCAGGGCCCGGCAGAGGAAAGTGGCAGGGCGGGCTGGCTGGCTGGCAAGGCGTGGGGACAGTGACGTGTAAAGGGGCAGATTAGCGAGTCCCTCAGCCATGTCTGCTGTGTGGCTCTGTGATCACCCACCTGCCCTTCTAATTGAAGCCCCCACTCTAGCCGGAGGAGCCCCTCAAACTCTGTTCCAGCCTCCCTGGCCACGTGCCCCGTGTGGTCAGCTTCAGGCTGTGGCATCCCCAGGCCTCCCCACTGTGGGTCTGAGAGGGCGGCCACTTGCCATCCGGTGTGGTCCGAGTCAGCCATCTGGGCCATCAGTGAGGAAAGCAGACGTGGTCTCACTTTCGGGCTGGGGTCCATCTGTCCTGAATAGGCCCTCCCACCGTTTCCAATCACCGTGCACCCTGTGCTCGTGGGCCTGCATGTCCCCGAGCCACCATCCTGCCAGGGGATGGGGGGAGGCTAAGCCCCCAGGTCAGGGCTCCTCCTAATGACTGACAGGCCCCGGGCCCCCAGCAACAGCTCTGACGGATGAAGCTTTCCCGAGTGTGGTTCCCTGTTGGGTACCGGCTGCCTCTTCTCTTCCCTGATCCACCTGCATTTCCACGAGTGTGTCCGACAGATCCGCAGGGACTCTCTGTCCCAAAGTACAGAGTGGGAGCTGAAAGGGACTTCATCTGGAAGCCAGATGTCTGGCAGAAGTCCAAGGAGCTGGGGGACACGCCCCGACAGAAGCCGGCTTACCGCGCCTTCCCTGGCGCCTTCAGCCTCTGTCCCAAGTACTGACATTAGGCTCCAAGACTTAGCGTGACACTTGCCCGTTCCCATGTGCACAGAACACCGACTTGTCAGACAGAGCAGCTGGCTCTACTCCGTGCTTATGAGGTGCAGCTTCGGGCCTCTTGGCCCACGACCGCCCCATGAGCAAGGCGCTGTCACATCCCCACTGCATGGAGGAGATGAGGCACAGAGAGGGTGAGTAACCTGCCCAAAGTCACACAGCTGGGAGGCGGGGCACACGTCTGCACGCTTAGCCAGCACACCACACAGCCCCTGGGGAGGCAGTGACGCTGGACCAGGCTCCAGGCTGGGCCCATGCCACAGCATGCCCACTCACGATGCAGGCCAGTTCGGGGGGTTCCTCTGAAGGCCGGAGTTAGCTTTACTCTGCTCACCTCCCGTGGGGATCTGGTGCTTGTGGGAGGGACAGAATTTCCAGACTGCATCTGCACAGCCACTTTGCTGTGGGTCAATATTTACCTGTGTAACAGGTGGCGTTAGCCAGGGTACACCATATGCTGGGCCAGGGCTGCTCCTGGGGTTTGAACAGCAGACGGTTATTCTCGGGACTGTGGAGGCCCAGAGGGAGCCTGGGGTCACAGTGTCTCCCAAGTTCCCTGGGAAGGCGCTGGCAGAGGGTTGTGGGGGGGGGAGCCTCCTGCCTTCTGGTGGCTTCTTGGCTTCTGGAAGCTTGGCTCTCTCCCTGTGTGTCTGTCTCCAAATGTCCCCTTTGTGTAAGGACACCAGTCATGCTGGAGGAGGACCCACCTCGTCTGAACGACACCTGCAATGACCTTCATCCCAAAGAAGGTCACATTCTCTGGTACCACGGGGATTGGACTTCATCGTATGATTAAACTGATGACACGTATGAGGGCAGGGGCCATGGGCTCCCCAGTGTGTCTCAGACAGCCTGTCCTTCATCCCAGCAGACGGCTTGTCTTTCAGCCCAGCAAACGGGACCAGAGAGGATGAACGTACTGGCAGTCCTGCCCCCATCCCCACCCCCACTCCCTGGGGGACTGACCCCTTCAGTCTCTGTGACCCCGGGCAGTGCACAAGCCTCTCTAGGCCTCTGCTTCTTCAGCAACACAGTGAGGACGCAATATCTCCTTTTCAGATAGCCGCGGAACAAATGGGATGAGGGACAGGAAAGTGGCCTGTGGCCTTGGGCGATTTAGTAGGACACGCACCTATGGCAGTGAGCAAAGTGTGCTCTGCCTGTTTGGAACCTCTTTCCGCTGACCCCCACAGAGAGCAGGCTCTTGGAAAGAGGTGGGTGCCAATACTGCCCAGTGGTTGTGTTGGTGAAGGAGGGGGGCGCTGTTGACTTGTGAACATGGCCCCGGGACACTGTCATGCCTTCATTCTCGGGTGGCTCGCCCAATTTTCGGACATCATTCAGGTTTCCTTTCCTGATCATTAGGACATAAAACCACACTGCACAGTTAACAAGAGAGTGTACTCTTGATAGTTGATGCCTGAAAGATCGTGCGGACTTTGCTACCACTGGGGATAGGTGGGGACGAGATGAGGAAGATGGGCACTTTGCCACATCAGCCAGAAACGGGGAGGGGGGGACTTCTAGGCCACCCCTTGCCACAGGGGCTGCCAGTTCCAAGAGGGGACAGGGACAGGGGACAGGTGATCAGATGGAGCATGGGTTACTAGGGGGATTGGGGAGCTGGGTGGGGAGCGGTATGGTGGTGGGGGAGTCAGGAGGGCTTCACAGAGGAGGCGCCCTGCATGGGGAAGCCTGTCCAGGAGGAGGGGAGGGGTGGACACTGAGTACGTGCTGATGCTGGCTGGCAGGGATGTAATGGTGAAGGCTCCTGGCCGGGCAGATTGTGAGGCACTCTCTCTACAACCATCAGAGTTGATGTGTGACCACTTTGTGCAGTTTACAAAAATATGGCCTGACGAATACCGATTCCCCATGTTCTAGACCCTGAGTCCATACAACAACACAGGGCCAGGGACTTTCGCCCCGAGCTGACTGAAATCCCTGTAGTGCCTCTAACACAGACCCGTGCCTGGGCCACACCGGCTGTGTCCTGGTGTCTGGAAGTCACCTGGGAAGGACTAGCCTCCTGGGCTCTGTGATGTTATGGGACCCCCCCCTGTTCCTAGTCCTTGTATATGGGGGGGGGGTGGATGAGAAGTAGAGGGACATAATGGAGGGGTCAGGGGTTTTGCCGAGGGGCCCTGACTTCTCTGCAAGCCTCCCGGAGCCAGCTGCTTACCCCTCCTGGGGTGTCAGGGCCGACAGAGGCACCTGCCTCGGGGGGATCAGGAGCACCAAGGGAGGAGTGCAGGTGAAGCAAGGCCTGCACCAAGCCCCTTCTCCTGGAGGGAGTGAGCAGAAGCCGTGGCACAGGAGTCGCTGGGTGGGACCCACGGTCGCGTTTCTCCTACTGGAAGAATGCGTGCCGCCATCACGTCTGTTTCCAGCGCCTCCCCTCACCCACCCAGGGCGCTGTCTCCCACCCCACCCCTGCGCCCACAGCTTCACCGCCAGCCGGGACTCTGGCCTGGCTCGCGGGGCAGCCAGGAGGCCACGGCCAGAGCTCCCAGGATTCGAACGGCCCCCGGGGGTGGGGGGGACACGCGCACAGCCAGCCGCGCGAGCGTTCCGCGAGGGGGCGCCACGACGGCGGGAGGGCAAGCCGCAGGCCCCGGGGTCCTCGGGGTGCGCAGCTGGACACCAGTCCGGCCCGGGGAGCCTCTACAGCGGAGGGGCCTGCTTCCACCGAGGCTCACACGTTTGACGGGATTACGCCCCCTATCCCTCCCCGGGGCTCCGCGCAGGACTCCAGCGTTCTCCTCGCCCCGAGAGACGGCCCGGCGGGGAAACTGAGGCTCGGTGCGCGGCGGGGCGCCCGCGTCACGCGGCCCCTCGTCTCGGCGCTCGGCCGGGCTGTCGCAGCGCGGCCGCCGGAGTCCCGCGGCCCGGGGCGGGCCGCGCAGTGCGCAGGCGCGGCGGCGGGAGGGGACGCGCTCGGGGCGCGCGCGCGCGCGGGGCAGCCGGCGCCCCGAGTCTGCCCGCCGCGCCCCGCGCCTCCCGCCCGCGCCCGCCCGCCCCGGCGCCCCGGCCGCCGCCGCATGGCGCTGAGATGGCGGGGGCGCCGCGCGGCCGAGGCGGAGGCGGCGGCGGCGGCGGAGGCGGAGGCGGCGCGGGCGAGCCCGGGGGCGCGGAGCGGGCGGCCCTGCCGGGCGGCCGGCGCGGGCTGCGGGCGTGCGACGACGAGTTCGCGTGCCCCGAGCTGGAGGCGCTGTTCCGCGGCTACACGCTGCGGCTGGAACAGGCGGCCACACTGAAGGCGCTGGCGGTGCTCAGCGGGCTGGCGGGCGCGCTGGCGCTGGCCGAGCTGCTGGGCGCGCCGGGGCCCGCGGCCGGCCTGGCCAGGGGGTCGCACCCCGCGCACTGCGTGCTCTTCCTGGCGCTGCTCGTGGTCACCAACGTGCGCTCGCTGCAGGTGCCCCAGCTGCAGCAGGTCGGCCAGCTGGCGCTGCTCTTCAGCCTCACCTTCGCGCTGCTGTGCTGCCCCTTCGCGCTTGGCCGCCCGGCGGGGACCCACGCCGGCGCGGCTTCGGGGCCGGCGACCGCCGACCAGGGCGTGTGGCAGCTCCTGCTGGTCACCTTCGTGTCCTATGCCCTGCTGCCCGTGCGCAGCCTGCTGGCCATCGGCTTCGGGCTCGTGGTGGCCGCCTCGCACTTGCTGGTCACGGCCACCTTGGTACCCAACAAGCGCCCGCGTCTCTGGAGGACGGTAAGTGCCGCTGCGCGTCCTCGGTCCGGTCTGGGGCACACCTGCCCGGGCGGGACTGGGGACGCCGGAAGCCTGGGGCGCGTCTACAGACTGGGGAGGTGGGGAAACTGAGGCCCTGAGTAGGGGGTGGGGCGTTCAAGGTCACTCAGCGAGCTGAGGACGCAGCGAGGGGCTGCTAGGACCCGGTCTTTTCCAGAGTTACCGTCCACAAAGAGCCCCTGGGTGTGGGATGTGGAGACGCGAGCGTGGAGGGGGCGAGGATTGGCCCAAGGTCAGGCAGCTGGTGAGCCGCCAAGCAGGGCCAGAGCCCCGTTTGGCGCCCTTTGGCTGCACACATCCCGCAGGAGGGACGGAAAGTGGGCGCGCGATGGGCTCCGGGGCGGGCAAGGCTCCCGCTGGCTGAGCGCGCAGCTCCGGGCGCCTCTCCAGTGCGCCTGGACCGCGTGCTGGGCTGGCAGAGTCCCCCTCCTGGCCTGCGGCACCCCAGGGACGTGGGTAGGGGACAAGGATTTGAGTCCTCTACAGCCACAACAGCGCCGGGTTGTGGACCCGGCTCTGGTCTAGAAAGACAACGTTTGCCAAGGTCGAACGGGGCTCTGGTCCTTGCTGCCCCCGCCCTGCCGTGGCCTGACTGAGGCTGGCAGCGACTGAACTTTGTTGTCACTGCCTTCCGGGCAGGCTGGAGAGACACAAGCTGGGACAAGGACGCTACTGCTTCCTGCGGTATCCTCCCCAGCCCCCAGGACCCCGGAGGCTGGAGGCAGATGTCTTTGCCTGTGTGGCTTTCAGAGCCTGGGGTTGGGGTGGGCAGTGCAGCCCAGCCCAGCCCACTGGGGCTTGGAGGGCCCCAAAGGAGGGTTTCATTTCTGTCTCTGGCGGCATTTTGGCAGGAGGGTGGAGGAATCCGAGGGGGTGGAAGAGCCCATCCTGGGAGAGAATGTGGCAGATGGAGGAGGTGGGGGCGATGGGGTGAGGGGAAGCTGGACAGAGCAAGCTTTGAAAAAAGAAGGGGGAAGTGAGGGGAATCAGACAGTGGGGTCTGGGGGGTGCCGAGGATCCATCACCCAAGGATCGAGGGATGCCAGGGACCCACATGGTCAGAGGGGGCGTGAGCACAATGCTGGACCTGCATTTCAGGCCCAGAGAGGCCAGCACATGGGGAGGGGCGGTGAGGAGGAGGGAAGGGGGGAAGGTAGCTGTCAGAGAGGGTGTGGGGGAAGGGGCCTGTGGAGGTGGGGAGAAGAGAGGGAGAACGTAGAGGTGAAAGCCAGAGACAGAGGTGAGGCAGAGAAAAGAGAAGAGGGCCAGATGGGTACCTGCACCTGGGGAGGGGAGGGGGGTTCCTTTCTGAGGGTTCTCCAGCACGCCTCCCTCTTGCCTCTCATGGGCAGCATGTGGTCCTTGCTGGAAGCCCTTAGGAAGGGCTCCTGAGCCCCTCCCCCGCAGCCCTCCCCCCTTGGCTGGCTGGTCCCCACAGCCAGGCCCCCCAGCAGGACAGCCTCCAGGACCAGTGGGGAGGCCCAGCCGCCAGGTCAGCCCCAGGTGGAGACGGTCCTGAGCTGACCTGGACAGGCCCAGGGCCACTCGCGTTCTGGGGTATCAGGGGTTCAGCTGATTTGGTGAAAAGCTGTACTATTGTCTTCTTCTAAAACAAATTTTTATGTAGCTTGTGGTCATTGGTTTTAGAAAATTCAGGGAAAGGAAAGCATCTGTAAAGGTTCCTCGGGCATAGGGAGCTCTGCCCCCAGGGTAAGAGGAACCCCTGCATTCTGCGGGGGAGGGAGCCTATCCAGGGAGCCTCCGTCCTCAGGAGTTCGCCTCCTCAGGAGTTCGCCGCTGCTGGGCAATGCACGCCCTTCCCTCCCAGGGCCTCAGTTTCCCCACCTGGAGGGCTGGGGCACAGGCGGAACCCATTGGAAAAGCACGTATTCAAAGTCTCTTGCTTCCATAGCATTTTGGCTTCTTTAGAATGTTCCTGTTCGAGTCTACAAATGCTAGTAGTGGTGGCCATTCAGAAAAACAGATGGGGGTGCAGAGGAGTGTTGATGAGGGCCTAGGTGTCCCCCAGGCATGGATGAGCCTGTCCTTAAGCAGCTTGGCAGTCTGGCCGGGAGGCACGTGGGGAAGGTGGGACCCCATGTACCAACCAGGCGGGTCCCCTGCTTCTCACTGCTGCTCGATGACGGTGTCCCTGCCACCCTGCAGTGCGGCCTCCTTTGGACACTCTATATTCCTCAGTATCTGGTTTGGGGCAAGCAGAAGCCCTGCGGGGCTGAAGGTAGAGGCCCAAAAGAGGCCGTGCAGTGGGGTGGGAGGGGAGTGACTGAGGCAGTCTGTGCGTGGGTGGGGGGTGACTGAGGCGGTGCAGGGGTGGGGTGACTGAGGCAGTCTGTGCCGGGGCTGATGGCTTTGCTGCACATTCACGGAGTGTCCTGCGTGCTGGGGACAGCTGCTTGGGGCACTGAGACCTGGGTTCAAGTGGGGGCTCTCAGAGCCCCTGCCCCTCCGCAGAGGGCCCTGGGGTTTCCTGCAGCAGCCCTGTACTGCCCTGGTGTGCAGACCTTGGGACGTGGCCCATGTGCTGTGGGGACCTGAGAGGGTAAGAGGACCCAGGGGGCAGTGACTGCACAGCTGACATTGGGGCTGGTGCTCAGCTGCCTTGGCCTTGCCCGGAGGAGCGCCTGCTGCTGCCCTCAAGGCAGAAAGGTTTAGGGACAGGGTCTCATTTCCACTCAGCCCAGCCCCCAGGAGGAGCAGGAAGAGCCCGTCCCTCCTGCCCCTGCTCCCTGCCCACTGGTTGCATCTAAAGTAAGCCATTTGTTTTTATTTAACTGAGCAATGTGTCAGAACTGGAGGCATCATGTTCCAGAACACCTGCGGTCTGGCTGGAGACCTGGGGCCCAGGTGGGGGTGTGGAGGTGGGGTGGTGAGCACAGCTGCGGGGGGGGGG